CATTTCAGGCGACATGGTTTTCTGAAGTTCTGGTATGTCTTCCCGCATTCTGTATCTTAGTTTATAAAAATTGATATGTTTAAATTATACTGAACCTGCAATGTTGAAAAAAATTAGGTAGAATCTCCCTGAAATAGTTGTTCTGAGGATCAACTTTTGGAAAGTACAAGCTTCGTTGTAAATAAGAACTTTAAAAAATGGGTTCCCTATTAGGCTATGGTATCGTAATGACTTAATGAGATAGTGCATGTATTAGCATAGAGAGGGTGGGAATTACCTCTGTTTTTTGTTGCTTTTGTTATGAGGGGCTTGTTTTTCTCAATAACTGCATAAAAGATGTACTTTAAATGAATCTATAGTGCAACCGTACTTGATAACTTGTTTTGAAATCAGGAATATTACTCTCCAAGGATAATGTATTATAAAATATGTATAAATAATAATTCAAATGATGGCATGCTCTTATTTTGCTTCAGATGAATGTATGTATGATTATTGATTTGGCAGGAGTTTCTCTATGCATTGCTTTTTTAGCATTGAAGTGTAAATATCTCTATTTTGGAAGTATGTTGACTTAATTCAGACCATGTATGCTTTGGTTTTAAATTCTTGATATCTGCACAACCATTTAAAGGTTATTTACAATTTCTTCATGCATAGCCTCATCATGGGTGAGGATGACAGTAAAACAATTTTATTCTTACCAAGTCCTTCATTTAGTCGCAATAAATGTGGTATGAGACTACATAAGCAATTCTTTTTTTTTTTTCCTTTTTGGTAAAACATGAACAATTCTTTTCCTTCCCTTCTTTTTTTTCCCTCTCCCCATGGCCATTTTTAGGCGCGACTAAAAAGTCCACATTTATGTTTTATGTTGACAGAACAACTTTCCATGCTATGTAGTGAAGGATATAGTGAAGGGGCAATTTACTAAATAAATGGAGCTTATAATTATGTGCCTTTATAAACATGTTGAAATTAGTGCATCTCTGTATGTTGTTTCTAAGATATCCTTCACAAACCAGTGCCTCTAATAACTCTTGCTTGTTTTATCAGCAATGCTAAATCACCAAGTTGCTTTTACCCTATTCCCCAAGCTGCGGATTGCATCACACGGATGGTTGAAAGGGCCAATACACCAGTTATTTATCTTTCAACAGATGCAGCTGAAAGTGAAACTGGTTTGCTGCAATCACTGATTGTGGTAGATGGGAAGATTGTACCACTTGTTAAACGACCACGTCGTGATTCAGCTGGAAAATGGGATGCTTTGTTATACAGGCATGGTCTTGAAGGATATTCTGAGGTGAGATTGTGATTCTCATTTCATGTTTACATCTCTCGTCACTTTTGGTGATGAGAACTTGTCTGTTATTCTTTGCATTTCATTCATTTTACTTTCTTCAAAATTTATGATGTTAGGGAAGAATAAATGTGCTGGGTATGTTCTAGATCTTTCTGTTATTCTGTCCAAATGTTAGATTCTTCCTAGGATTCTAGGATGTTCAAGGTTTCTGATCCAACCTCTTGGAGAATTTGCTTTCAACACAAATTTGCACCTTTGGATTATTAAGTAGAAACCCGTTTATCGAGGCCCTTGATGGCCTGGTGGCTGGAAATTGAGAAGTAAGGTTCTTTCTCCTTCTAGTTGCTGGTGTTTGGGTCTTGGTAGTTGCAAGTCTCACTACTCTCCTGCAGAAGTAGGAACCCATTATTGCCTTGGTTTAGATCGGGTGTGAGAACTCCACCAGCACTCTAGCGATCCTGTTTTCTTGATAACCCTTTGCTGACAGATCCAACATGTTAGGTGTATGTATTGCCATTGCTTGTTGTTGATTAAAATCTCAAATTGAACAAAGTGCAAAGTACGAACAGATCACCTTCACCATGTTACCATCCTCAGCATACAAGATAAAATTCTCATCTCCTTGTAGTCTACATGGTCATGTTCTTTGAATACATCTCTGGCATTTGGCTTGGTGAGTTGTGCATAATTCCCCAGCTCAAGAAGCTCAGTGGAAAATCTCATTTCCTCAAAGTTTTAGGGTTATCCACCTGTAGTGATTAGTAATCTTTTATTTTGACCCTACAATTGAAACACATTGGCTGGTTATGATATTATTTCATTTGGTGTGGCAAAAATTTAACTTGGTCGCAATAATAAAAGAGCTTTTTGCACCTAGTGCTGAAGCTGTGTGGGCAGTCATGAAAAGTACTAATTGATACCTACCTATTTGTTTTTACAGCATAAGATCAAAGTTTTTGAATTCCCTAATGCAGAATTGTGCAAATCAATGATGGGGCTTCCGAAGTGAATTAAACCTATTTACCAGCCATTGATAATTTGATATCCATCTAACTCTTTGTGCTTAATTTTCCCAATTTAAGGTGGAAGCTATGCTGGATAAGACAATCTGTGCCATGTCCAGTGTGTTCATAGGAGCTTCTGGATCGACCTTCACGGAGGACATTCTACGGCTCAGAAAAGACTGGGGAAGTGCCTCTTTATGTGATGAGTACTTATGCAAAGGTGAAGAGCCAAACTTCATAGCAGGTAATGAATAAAGAAGATGCAGAAAATGGCTGTATGACTGAATGAGTGCCTTCTCTGTTCTCCATTTGTTCCTCCACTGCAGAAGTTGGATGGTATTCTGATGTATTGTAGTATATGATAAGAGCATCTAATTGATTATTAGTGTATACAAAATCATTCTTAAACTCTGATTGCTTATGCGATTCATTCGGTTATTCATTAGGTTAACCCCTAAATTCCAAAGACTCGATCTTTTTTGAACTTTTCGTCTTTAGCTAGAGGTGTTTGTTCAGAAGCTTACTTCATTTTTTTGGCAAAGAATAAGCAATCAAGCATTTATTTCTCTCTTCTTAGGGAAAATGTTTTTCCTTTTTTTTTTTCTTTTTCTTTTTCCTTTTTAACAGATAAGAGATGACCAAATTATCTAAGGTGCATTTTACTTGTCAATAGATTTATTTCTTGATAATTTTTTTATAGTATATATAAATGATAATTAATATTTTTTTAATATGTTAATTCTTTTTAATATGTAACTTTTAGTTTCGTTTTATTAAAAAAAAAGATTATCTTTACTATGAAAAGGACCACCTAAAAATAGTTGTAGTGACAAATAAAATAGATTAAAGGTAGTTTTTATTAACTTAAAAATTTTAATTTAGTGTCAAGATCATAAATTAAAGTCATAAATACCAAATAATTAATTCTTAATTTTTTTTAAAAAAAAGAAACATCTACTGACTACCCCTTGGCCTTTACATCTAAGTGAAATAAAAACTATTGTAACATGCAATAAGATTATATTGTGAATAAACATTTTTGATAAATTATTTTTATTTAAAGAGTGTTTTTTAGTGAATTATTTTTTTAAAAAAAGGTGCAATTCTAGTTATGAAAACATCAAAATATTTTGACGACATGAACTGCATGCAGTCTGCACTCTGCATTGAAAATAATTTGCTAAATGTTATTAATGAAATTATCCTCTATGTTGTTTTATTTAGAGTTATTTAGTAATTTTACATGTTAGAGTGCCATTGTTGTCCTGTAAAACATGAATGAAAAAAAAGAAAAAAAGAAAAAAAGGGGGTCAAACGCTTACAATAGAAGCTTGACGTCCCTATTACTATGAGTGTGATATGAGACCACAGTTTTTGCAAACACTGTTTACAAGGCGCGCCGCCGCTCTGCACTGTTCTCTTCGTCTTCCCTTTTTGGTTTTCCGTCAAACCCCAACGGCTCAACCTACAGGGCTACACCTAGGTATTATGGCTCGCTCTTTCCTTAAAGCTCTTACCTTTTAGCTAAGTATTCCTCAAAGATTTCTTCTTCTCTCACACACCACTTTGGAATATTCAGATCATTCTGATTCCATTTTTTTCTCAATACCCAGTTGAGCAAAGGAATCATATACCCACTAATAACCATGCGTGCAAGATTGGTGGTCTTTCCAATCCGAGGCCGGAACTGGTGCTTCATCAGATCCATTGACCCTTCATCGTCGGAGACTGCCTCTGCTTATTCACCGTCCACCATCAGGGAGCTCTGGAAGCGGATCTCTTTCAATTCCGAGCCTTTGAATGCCAATGCGGAGCTCGTTATTGATTTCATCTCTAACAAGGTACCCTCTTTTCTATGTTCAGTGTTTCAAATATCAATACCCATTTACCCAGTCAGGTGCAACGGAATGAGGGCGTGTGCAAAACAGACGGGAAGTGGAAACTGGTATACTGGGGGTGTTCTATGTATTGTGCTTATGTGGGATTTCTTTTTAATTTGGTGTTGGTAGATGAATAAGGGTTGGACGGCTTTGGAGAAGGCACCTGATGGGAGTTTCAAAAACAAGCTTCATGGGTATTATTTGCAAGTCAGATGTGGTTAATACTAATTTTTGGGTTGCTGGATCAATATTTGGTGTTAGTTTGTGCTAATTTTGTTTCTGTGGGACAATATTATGTAGGTTGGGGTTGCGGCTTTTGGCTCGGGTTAAGCCTTCTGAGAATTTGTTGAAATCTATATCAAAGGAGGTCACTAATGTTCAAGTTACATATCCCCCTAGGTATTTTCTTAGTTATTGCATGTTAATGTCTTATGTAACAGCTTAATTCCTGACAGAAAGTTGGTTTATCATATTGAAATTATCTGTTCCATTCCAAGTGCTTCTAAGATTTGATCTCTGATGCAGCCTTTGTTTATATCTTAGCCAATTTTGGCAACCTCAAGTCTTTATAATGACATGTGGGACGGTGTTTGAGTTATGACATGTTACTAGTACTAAGAAATTTTTACAAATTTTTACATTACTGTGATTTGGTGTGCCTAAACTTCGTAATGTAGACTTAAGACTTTTCTATCAGTATTTACTCCATGTCAGATTGCCTATGGCGAGAATTTCTGTTGTAATTGTTTGCTTCAATGTCAGAAAATACTTGGCAACTATCCATAAGTTTTGTGCAAATACAATTCTGGTATTGAGTTATACTTTTTTGGTTGTTTTTTTCTGAATGGTTTGATCAATGGTAACACTAAAGGCATACAGCTATTTGTTGTTTAGATTACTCTCATTCCATGATATCTTTCACATATTGCAGTTTAAATCCACGCCTTGTGCGTCGAAGGTTGAGGCATATAGCCATGAGGTAATGGCCTTTCTATCTAATATATTTGAAATGAGAGAATATCACTCATATTTACATAGGATTCTCCTTGTTATTACATCTTAAGCTGTAGTTTGGTTCATATGTTTACATTAATAGGATTTTCCTTGTTATTACCTTTTTAAGTTGGAGAGTTTGGTTCATGTAACAAAATTTTTATTTGAGGAAAATTCCATAGATTATGCTTGCATGTATCATTATCATCAATCATAGGTTTTTGTATATTCTTGCTAGATTAAAAAAAATAGTGTTGTAGTCCAAAAGGATTTTAAATGTGTAGCAGACTAATTTGGTTCAAATCCAATGCATCTTTGAGTTCATCATTGCTCTGTTTTTATGAGAGTGCCTGCCCATGATCTATGTCATGAGTAGGAAAATAAAGGAATGTGTCTCTTCTAGAATCTCTGTAACCCCTCAGTTTAAAGTTCATATATACTGCTAAAACCCTGAAAATATCAGCTTTTTGGTTGCATTTAATTTTGTTCTTTATTCTAATTTGGATTATATATACAAGTTTCCTACAATTGGATAATATTTTTCTCAAGTATTTGCTTTTTGCTTTCTAATTATCAGGGGAACTATTATTCACAGGAAGTACTTTTATGGTTCAGTAACATTGCTTCCACTGACTAGTGCATTATCTGTACGTATGTGGTATTTTGATGATCTAAATCATAATTCCTTTGCCCTTTAGTATACTTTTTTAATTTTGTATTGTATTATATCCTTATTTTCTTTCTGGTGTAGGTTTTGCCTCTTCCCAACATACCTTTCTTTTGGGTCTTATTTCGATCTTATTCCAATTGGCGGGCTCTCAAGGTATTCATTTCTACTAAAATTAGTTAATTGAGCTGATTTGAAAAGATGAGAGTTGAAGTATCCATTCAGTTGCCAATTTTTAC